CTGTTAGTTTCACACATTGAGCTAAGTTAGAAGCAACACCACTCACTCCCTCTATCCACAAATCACTCAGTCTCTCTGTTATAATCTCTTCTTCTTTCACCACACCTCTCTCTAAACTTAGCTCTTTCCTTTCCTTCGCTCTTTGTGGAACATAAGAGAACACTGGAAAGAGAAAGATAAACAATGCCCCAAGAAGCAGCCAGGGTGATGCCCCAACAAGGCTTGAATGCAGTGTCCATACAGACCCCATAAAGACAGTGTGTGTGCTGGAGACGATGGTTCTCCAACAGAGTCTCTGAAAGGATAATGTAGACTATATAAAAACTGTGATGCTTGCGTCATTTTGTAGGTCATATGAGTCATTGCAGGATCAGCCAATCATGATGAAAACCAGTGGCACCAGTGGGGGCAAGATGTGGCTCGCATGAACTACCATATTCACTACTACTGTATCCACCTTTTCATTTTATTTGTATAACTTTAATCAGATAAATAGCAGATGTTGATCTCTTTTTATAGATTAGTATGCTAAAAGAAAAAGAAAGTCTATATAAATAAAGTATATAAATTATGGAGAAACACGTAGTATGGCACAACCAAACAATAACATGAAGAGGAAATATTAAACAGTATTAGGAAATAGTAAATATTTGTATTTTGGTAATATTTGTAAAACAAATCCTACTGTAGTTAATTATTATTTTTATTTTTTTTATTATTTTGCAACTCATAGACAATGGCTTGGTATACTGCTACCACCTACTGGACATTATATTGTAAAGCGACTGTGAACATTATTAAGTGGCATAAATGCTTCTAGCCTTGTCACAGCTGTGCATTGTTGTTTTAGTTGGTCTGCAAAGTGCACCGTCCCAAAATCTGAATGGCTTTCTCTTTAAAATAAAGTAGATTATTCAGTCACTGAGCTGTGTGTTTGTTTCAAACCAAACAAAAAACAGGATGTGCTTGATCCGTTTGAAACCTGAACAAAAGCATGTAGGAAGTGGACCCTCACTGAAGTCAATGCAACTAATCTAATTTAATATCAGATTAGATAAAATAAGATAATATGTACCTTTATTGATCCCCATAGGGGAACTTCAAGTCAGACACAGAAGCATAGGGGAATGCAGTGCAAAGATTACAGAGCGTACAAGTACAATAAGAATCACAAAATAATAATATTAATAGGGCTGGGACTTTATCGCGTTAATTACGATTAATTAATTAAAAAATAAAGCGACAAAAGAAATAACGCATTTAATCGCAATTTATTTTTGCATTCCAAACAGCGCGGAACGTTGCTCGTTGCACAAACCCGTAATACTGATGCACAGGACACAACACGAGAAATTGAAACCGATTAGAAGTCGTTGCTGGGTTCAGTGGGCGGAAATTTTAGTTTTAAAAAACTACCGGGTGGAAACCTGGATAAAAGCACAGTTGTGTGCAAATTGTGCAAGAAAGAATTTGCCTATCACCAGAGCACTTCCAGCCTCCGCTACCACCTCAATGCCAAACATGTTGCAGCTAGCACAGACAACACTCCTAGTTCAAGCAGGCAGTGTCGCCAATCCACACTCGACAAGATGACAGGGATTCAGAGTTTCCACTTTTCTGGAATGTACTGTACTAAGTGCTGTTTTTTATTTTAATAAACAAAAACAAATGTGTTTAAGGCATAGAAAGTTTACAAAAAGTCCTGAAAAAGCTTGAATATAGCTAACTTGAATTTAAGTTTGTGCCTTGTGAACAATGCGATCATAATATTCTTTATTCATATTGCACTTTATGTTAACACTCAGTGATGAAAAAAAAACACGATTTTGTTGCTTGCGCTTATTTATGTGTCTATTCATTGATTCAGTCATATACCAAAATCCATTTAAATTGAATAATGTTGCTTCTCGTGTCATATATGCGATTAATTGAGATTCATTAATTACAAAGCCTCTGATTAATTAGATTATTTTTTTTAATCGAATCCCACCACTAAATATTAACAAAATATAAGACTATAAATGAAAAATATATACACTATATGCAATATGCAGTAAAATGATGTGCAAAAAATTTGTTATTTCCTTTGAAAAACTAAACTAAACTGTACATGTGCAAACGAAAGATTAAAGATAAATAGTTTGTGCCAGAGTTTGGTTGAAGTTAAAACCAGTCTTAGTCACCAGGAGTTGGAGGTGCTGTGGCGTTGTAGTCTGATGGCTGATGGTACAAATAAGCCTCCAAACCGCTTTGAGTCTCGGGGCTGGGTCGGTCTGTGACTGAAAGTGCTCCTGAGCTGCCTCAGCTCAGTGTAGAGAGGATGAGAGGGGTTGTCCATGATGGCTTTCAGCTTCCCTCTCATCCTCTTCTCAGTCACAGCCTCTACACTGTCCAGCTCCATCCCCACCACCGAGCTGGCCTTCCTTACCAGCTTGTTCAGCTTGATGGCACCCCTAGTCCCGACGCCTCCTCTCCAGCCACTACAGACTGGTGGAACATCCGTGATACGGCCGACAATGAAGGAGTCATCCGAGAACTTCTGTATGTGGCACCCTCCGGAGTTGGAACAGAAATCAGAGGTGTAGAGAGTGAACAGGAACCGTGACAGTACAGTTCCTTGGGGGGTGCCAGTGCTGCTGTTCACCACGTCTAAAAAGCAGCTGTGCAGCCTGAAATATTGTGGTCTGTTGGTGAGGTAGTCAGTGATCAAGGCCACAGGGTCCTGATCCACCTGCATCACAGAAAGCTTCTCTGCCAGTCATAGAGGCTGGATGGTGTTGATCATTAGCATTCAATCCATTAATAAATGGCAAATGTGTATTAGGTCCTGTGTCAAGCCTCTACACCTGCAGAAATTGGTGGTGTAAAAGATTAAACAAACAATGATGTAAATCGGTGAGGGGGATGACAAGGTTCTGTATATAACGTTAAGTTACTTTGCTTCCCTTCAGTATCGGGATCTACATGTTGCATGTCCGAAAGAGATCACGGTGGAGTTAAGGAGATGAAGGTGAGGAACAAGAAGACAGAGAAGCAGTGGAGATACAAGCCTTGTTGTCATTGGGAATGTATGCTCACTGACAAGCCTGATCATGTTATGCCTGACTGAGACATTGCTGAATGGGAATATACCAGACTGTACAGTGGAACTAGCCGGCTGCACGCTAGTTTGGGGTTACAGTGGTATGAAGTCGGGAAGGCGGCTTACTGTCTTTGTTAACTCCAAATGGTGTAATCCAGGACATGTTATTACGAAGGCAACAATCTGCACACCTGATATTTAACTGCTGGCCATCAGGTTGAGGACAAACTATCTGCTCTGGAAGTTTTCAGCCATTTCTGGCACTGTTTACATTCCTCCATCTGCAGACACGGCATCCCAGCGCACTCATAATAATATTTGTGCTGACACTAAAATCTCAAGGACCCCTGTCAACTTAATCAAGTACGTGACCTGCACCACCAGAGGGGATAAGACATGGGATCTGCTGTATACAAATATAAAGAAGACTTACAGAACTACTGCCCTACCTCCCACCCTGGCAAATCTGACCACTGCCTGATAGAGCTTATGCCTACTTACAGGCGTGTTGTTAGGTTCTGTAAGGAAAGCATTATCCCCAACAACAGAAATCGCTGCTTCCCCAACAAGGAGCCCTGGATCAACAGGGACATCAAAGCCCTATTGAACAAAAAGAAGATGTCAATGGAGGTGACAAGATAGATAGATAGATAGATAGATAGATAGATAGATAGATAGATTCTTTATTTTTCCAGAGGGAAATTCAAGTATCCAGTAGCATACAAAATACAAAACATACATTACATACATAAACATACATTAAACTAAAATTAAAAACTCTAACCTTAAGAATAAAATAAAAAATAAAATAAAATATAAAATATTATATATATATATATATATATATATATATATATTAAATTAACAGTAGCTACAGTAAACAGTGCAAATGGAGTGGAGTGCAAATGGAAGTAAAACAGTGCAAATGGATGTGCAAATGGAGGTAGAAATTGTCCATTGTCTATTATCTATTGTCCTCCCTGCCTGTCAAAGGGACGTGCCAACGAGTTAAACAAGTTTTTCAACAGGTTTGACTCGACAACTCATGACAAACCCCCCTCCACCGCTTCAGGTATCCCCACTCACACTCTGACTACCTCACCGACAGACCACAGTATGTCAGGCTGCACAGCTGCTTGTCAGACATGGTGATGAGCTGCACTGGCACACACTAAGGACCTGTACCTCTGACCATTTCTGTTCATCTGCACCTCTGACTTCGCTTCAGTTCGGAACACTGATCCAGCCCCGTGCCTCAAAGCGCTTCAGAGGATCATTTTTGCCATTAGCCATCAGACTCCACAACACCCCAGCACCCAGTACCCCCCACCTTCACTGACTGAACTGTTAACCATTAACCTGCTATGCACAACTGTTGTTTTATCTTTTGTATTGCACAATACCCTGTTGCACATGTACGGTTATCTATTCCAGTTATCCATCTGGACCATATTCAACTTTATTGTATACAGTGTATATATTTTAGATATTCAAGATTTCTATTATGTTTTTTGTTATATTTTGTTTTTATTTTATTAGATTTCCTTTTTTTTTTCCCTAAGTTGAATTTATCCTATGAGGGCTCAATAAAGGAACATCTTATCTTTGTTTCCTGCTACCTAATGTGACTCTGGACCCTCTGTGACTCTCCACCCTTGGAATTGAATTTCGTTCTTCATTGTCACTGGCTAGCGGTCAAGAGGAGCAGTTTCTTTTGTATAAGACCTGTGTGGGGACCCCTCCAGTCTTGTGGATTTTAGGTTTATACAAATTGACCATTGTAAGTGATATCTTTTTCCAGTTTTCAACAGATAGTGATTTCAAATACTATGTGCTGTATTTTAGTGAAATTGCATTATTCAAAGATTCTTGAAAGGGTTTACTAACCTGCTTGAAATGAATACCCCTGGAAACCAAGCACTTTTGTGATGAAGTGTGACTTTATTTATTCAATTTATATCCATCACATGATGGAAAAATATTCTTAAACATCAATGATGTTAAAATAAAAAAATAAGTAACGTAAAAAAAAAATGGATGATGTATATATTTAAATACATTAGATGGAGACTACATAGAATGTGCACAACATGAGCTCTGTAGTATATGTTGCCATTAAAACTATTTCCAAACCTCAGATGTCTTTGGACTGATTTTTGTTCATTAGATGTTTCTTGGTATTTTTCTCTGGCTTAAACAATATGATGAAACACTTCGGAGCAAATATACACAATATTAGTCCAAAACTAGAGGCCAATATGGCAAATATCTCTACAGCCACTGTAAATTTCCCAGGAGAGCTGACATACGCTGGGATAAAGGTGATCCAGACTGCACAGAATATCAGCATGCTGAATGTGATAAGCTTGGCTTCATTAAAATTATCAGGTAGTTTCCGGGCTAGGACAGCTAACACAAAGCAAAACACAGCCAGAAGGCCTATGTACCCGAGTACAGCCCAGAACCCAATAGCTGAACCTAATGCACACTCCAGGATGATTCTCTCCTTGTATATGGTTAGGTTTTTTATTGGAAAAGGGGGACTGACAACCAACCAAATGGTACATATTAAAACTTGAATGAAGGTGAAAGACACTACAGTCATTCTTTGCTGTGGAGGACCAAACCATTTCATAGCATTACTACCTGGGAGTGTGGCTTTGAAGGCCATTAACACTACTATAGTTTTTCCCAGAACACAAGAGATGCAGAGGACAAAGGTGATCCCAAACGCTGTGTGGCGCAGCATGCAGGACCACTCAGAGGGTGCTCCAATGAAAGTTAAGGAACATAAGAAACACAGAGTCAGGGAGAAGAGCAGCAGGAAGCTCAGTTCAGAGTTGTTGGCCCTGACAATCGGGGATGTTCTGTGACGAAAGAACACAGCCGCTGTTATAATGGCAAGACAGGCACCACCAACAGAGAATGCAGCCAGGATGATTCCTAGGACCTCGTCAAAGGAAAGAAACTCTACAGGCTTGGGGAAACAAGTGTCTCTCTCTGCATTAGGCCAGAACTCCTTGGGGCAAGGGAAACAATCAGGAGAATCTGAAATAAATAAATGAAAAAGCCTTTTAGCAGTCATGTATTTGGTGTTGTAGTTGTGCTTCAGAAAAAAGTAAATTACCTGTAGTATTGCTAATCTCTCCCTCAGGACACGGTATACAGTCATAACAGCAGATGGGTTTTCCTTTCTGCAACACTTTACGAGTTCCTGGAGAACAGCTGTCACTGCACACTGATACGGGCACCTGGGACATAGGTACAAACTCACACATATTCAAGTGTGCTATGCATATCCTAGGATTAAAGGATAGGTTCATATTTTTTCATGTCTGTCTTAAGACAATACTCACATACGTGTATTAAAATGTTTGGCCCCTGTAACCATTCCTCTTGTTTATACTGGCTGTGAAGAAATCTCTTCCTAAAGCTGATTCAATGTAACTAAAGGAGTGCTCATAATGTGTTCTCAAGTTCACTTGAAGCTAAAATGAGGCTTTTGTGTTGTGTGTCTTACTTGTGTACCACCCTCCATCCAGGTGAGGTTCCTGTTTATACGGAACTCCTGGCCCACTGGCAGTGATGCATCATAGTACCCTACGGTCACCATCTCAATGCTGCCACTCTCACTTTTTTGCCAGTTCACCAGCTCATATGTGGCCACAGGATCCCCGTTGGCATCAAAGGACACATCATAACCATTTTGTGAAAAATTTACTTTCTTCAGCTGATGAAGAACCTGTGAGGATTAAATAATGTCAGTGAGAGAGAGAGAGAGGAAAATGTGAACTCAAATTAACATTTAATTTCATAAAAGGGTACACTTTAGCAAAAAATCTGCATTGGGGTTGTTCTCTTTTTCATTTTCACTGACCTGTTTTGCTTCTATCCTGGTGAATTTATCACACTGAATTGTAGAATTTGTGTCCTGACACACTGCATTATGAATGGCATGTGCTATTGCATAAACAGCCTTATACACCATGTTAGTGATTCGGAGTTGAGATGTGTCAGTGTACTGGCTCTGGAGCGTCTGTATGTCTTCAGTTCCATCACACACACTCACGTCTATGACTGCACCTAACAATACACAATGATATTACATTATGATTCTTTTGCATTTTTTTATTTTTCTCTTTTTGCTTTCTGTTTATTTATTTAACCCTGAATACATACCATGCAGAAACTTGTGTATCTATAATGTTTGAATTTATTGAAAAAAGCTTACATGCCATCATTTATTTAAATGAACCAGCTGTTTTAGTTTGTGTCAGGCCCAACTGACTTGACTTATTTTAATATGTTGATAATAAATCACTGTCAGTATAATAGCCTAATTAAACATATACTATATAAAGGAAACTGTATGAAGGCTGTGTGATTGTGTTAGGATAGACTTGTGTTGTTATTGTAAAACCACTTCAGCCAAGTTCATATAAAATCTTTTCAAAGGCAGCAAGGGCCTAAATTTGAACTGAAAGATTATTTGAGTGAGTCTTTCTTTAAGATCAATAAATTTCCTTCTCAGCAGTAAACTGGGGTTAATCTTAAAGCAGCCATCTGTCAAACAGACAATGAAAAAAAACAACACAACCACAAGGATGCAACTGTTAATGTAAACTATGATAAAACTCTTCTTGTGCACTGTTCTTACTTTTTCCCAGCCTGCAGTTGAATGCACCCTCCCAGAACTCAGTAAGCACTGGAGAGGCAGCCACTTTAGAGGGAGAGAGATCGAGCAAGAATTCTCTCAGACCTGGGATGACAGATTGCTGAATGCCAAATCCAATGGCTCCAGCACAGAAGCTGAACTTCAGCATGTCAGGGTTGGTTACCCAGGATTCACTGCCTATCCACTGGCGAGGTGGAAAAGACTCTTGCAATATCTCCTTGAGCAGGATCTTCATGTCTCCAGAGGCTACAAATGCAACAACAACTATAGCTGTCGACCTGAAGAGACATGATAGTGCATTATATTACTGTAAAAATTAAATTCACGTTTTAAAGGTACAAAGATGGCTAACACAAACAAACATAAGGAATACTTCTTTAATGGGTTGAATTTGTTCACGCTCTATTTTTATAAAATCAATAATAATAAATATGAGAAAGGTAAACATAATGAAAAAAAGATAGATTTTCAAAGTGTCATATTTTCTAGCTTATATTTGACTATATATGTTTGTGGTTTTGTATGCAGAAGGTCAGTGTCAGTGCAGGGAACAATAAAGCAAAGTCAGTGATGTAGAAACCTGCGGATAACATCAGCCACTCTCTGGATCCTGCTACGTGGGTGGGTTCGATGGAAAGATACAGAGTATTCCACACAGATCCCCTCCTTCTGTGCTGCCTCCAGGAAAGACGCCATGCCATTATTGCCATAATCTGAATCCGACCGGACAGCACCTATCCAAGTCCAGCCAAAGTGTTTTATCAGCTTGGCCAGCGCATCAGCCTGGAACTGGTCACTAGGGATTGTTCTGAAGAAACTTGGGTACTGCTGCTTATTAGACAGGCATGCACAAGTGGCAAAGTGGCTCACCTAAAGGAAAAGTGTTATTATTTAACAGGACAGTAAAAAAAAAAAAAAAAAGACCACTGGCCATAGTTTGGCATAAAAGTCATAATATTTACTTGAGGAATGTTAAAGGACCCAATGATGCGCGACATGCTGATGGATGGCGTGGACCCAGACTCACCGACAATAGCCATCACCATACCAGATTGAGAGCAGTTGTCACCAGTGTAAAACACCGGGTCCAGGCCATTTGAAAGCTGGAACGTCACATGCATCGCCAGGGACACTGAGGCACACGAGTCATGGATCTGATAACCAAGTTGAATTCCTGGCAGCAGCTCTGTGCTGTTGTTAATCTCCTCGATGGCAAAGATCATTGCACGTGAGAAGCGCAATTCACGGGAGTCAATGCTGCACACAGACACTCATGTTACTGTTAAATTAACACGAGAGGGACAATTCACAATTTTAACAGAAAACACACAATAAATTAAGAATTGCAATCCACCAAAAATTCAAAACACAGGATTAGATATCAGTCCAAAATTATATATGGCCATTTACTGTTTTTTTAAGTTTTCAATACTACACAAATGCTTGGCAACATGATTTAAGCTCATCATTCCTTTCAAAACATTTCCAACCCCACACGGTCTAACATCCTCTTACCAACCACGTATCCCTCTTACTAACCTCCCTGTGCACTTTAGTTGCTCAGGCATGATGGTGTAGTTATGCTTCACTGTTTGCATGTAGTTGTGTATGGAGAAAACACCCCCAATAACGTAGTCACCATCCATTGAGAATGCAGGTAGACGAGCTGTACCCTGGAGCTTACATTTCACTGATGAGGACTCACTGCTGATCCCAGCAACAGTTCTATCCTCAGTAAGCCCAGCCCCTTGTTTCAGACCATCAAGAGCTGAATTCAGCTCACGTAAACCCAGAGACAGCATCAAGCCAATTAAAAGAACAGAGATCTCCATCCCTCAAGTGTCTATGTTGGCATATGGATGTGTGTTTAAATGTTTATATAGAGTTTATGAAAGCTTCCCTCCCTATGTTGTACGTCAGCTTACATCAAAGGTAGGATACCCTTATCCAATGGTCTTTGATTAACTGTTTCTATTACAGTTAAGCCTAACAAATGCCCATCTTTGATGCATTATTTGTTTCCATTTTATTTAAATAGAATAAAGAAAAGTACAATGCCATAAAGGAAAAAAAAACACTTGTTATTCCCTGGTATTTTATAAAATATATGTATTTGAACGAGAGCAATATAACCTTTATAGAACTGGCTTATTTTAATTTAGAATTAATGTCTACATTAGACAGAGGTTAAGAACTGTATGAGATTGCATCAAAATCAAACCAAACTGTTCCATACTGAAATACAGTATCCCTTAATCATATGGTAGCCCATGTATTGACTTAGATAGGAGAGACTTAGATAGGAGAGATGCACACCCCTTCTGAGTAGTTGAATGTACAACCAGGCAGTGAGTTGAAGCCAATATGTCATAACATAAATCTTTCTGTGTCAAACTTGCATTTTCACAATTTAAAGTGTTTTTTAATCAAACAAAAATATTCTTTAAATAGCAATGACTTTATCAGAATGAAAAAAAGACAGAACTTGGTATTTGTGTTTAGAATTTTAACTTTATGACATGTTGAAACATTATTTGTAAAATAATACTATAACATATTAAAATGACATAGTTCATAGTTTTATAGTGTATCCTTTATAGTTACATTGAAATGTAGAAAATGTATAATATATAAAAACTTCAGCTAGATGTCTGTATTGGATGTGCATAGCATAGGTTCTATATTTAATGTTATAAATGAACTATTTTCAAACTAGATGTTTTAGGATTCATTTTTGTTCATTAGATGTTTCTTGGTATTTTTCTCTGGCTTAAACAATATGATGAAACACTTCGGAGCAAATATACACAGTATTAGTCCAAAACTAGAGGCCAGAATGGCAAATATCTCTACAGCCACTGTAAATTTCCCAGGAGAGCTGACATACGCTGGGATAAAGGTGATCCAGACTGCACAGAATATCAGCATGCTGAATGTGATAAGCTTGGCTTCATTAAAATTATCAGGTAGTTTCCGGGCTAGGACAGCTAGCACTAAGCAAAAGGCAGCAAGTAGGCCTATGTACCCGAGTACAGCCCAGAACCCAATAGCTGAACCTAATGCACACTCCAGGATGATTCTCTCCTTGTATACAGTTAGGTTTTTCATTGGAAAAGGGGGACTAACAACCAACCAAATAGTACATATTAAAACTTGAATGAATGTGAAAGACACTACAGTCATTCTTTGCTGTGGAGGACCAAACCATTTCATAACATTACTACCTGGGAGTGTGGCTTTGAAGGCCATTAACACTACTATAGTTTTTCCAAGAACACAAGAGATGCAGAGGACAAAGGTGATCCCAAACGCTGTGTGGCGAAGCATGCAGGACCACTCAGAGGGTGCTCCAATGAAAGTTAATGAACATAAGAAACACAGAGTCAGGGAGAAGAGCAGCAGGAAGCTCAGTTCAGAGTTGTTGGCCCTGACAATCGGGGATGTTCTGTGACGAAAGAACACAGCCGCTGTTATAATGGCAAGACAGGCACCACCAACAGAGAATGCAGCCAGGATGATTCCTAGGACCTCGTCAAAGGAAAGAAACTCTACAGGCTTGGGGAAACAAGTGTCTCTCTCTGCGTTAGGCCAGAACTCCTTGGGGCAAGGGAAACAATCAGGAGAATCTGAAATAAATACATCAAAAAGGACTTTTAGCAGTTATATATATGATGTTATAGATATACATAAGAACAAATTAATTACCTGTAGTATTGCTAATCTCTCCCTCAGGACACGGTATACAGTCATAACAGCAAATGGGTTTTCCTTTCTGCAGCACTTTACGAGTTCCTGGAGGACAGCTGTTACTGCACACTGATACAGGCACCTGGACACAGGTACAAACTCACACATTTTCACGTCTACTATGCCAAATTTAGGATTAAAGGATAGGTTCACATTTTCTCAGGTCTGACTTTCAGGTCCAGTGTGTAGGATTTAGTGGCATCCCCTTCTAAGCTCAAAGGAGAATCTATCGTTGCTGCAAAATGCTCATAAAATGCAAACGGCTGCATCTACAGCCAGTGTTTGTCCATTCTGGCGGTTCAGCATGGTGGCCTCCTTGGAAAGCGGCCTGTGGCATCTGTAAATATTAAAGGCTCATCCTAAAGAAATAAAATCATAAAGGTTCTTATTTTGAGGTAATTTTACACTAATATAAACATAGTTATGCATATTATATTCCAGTTGTGCCAATGGATCCTCCTAAATGCTACACTGCTCTAGATTTTGTCCCACATCTCTTAGACTGGGATAGTATTATAAATTGATCTTTTTCAGGCAGTATGGACAGGGGCAACAGGTACCAAAATCACAAACACACATCATACCCTTTGAGATCACCTCTACACAGTAGTCTGCTGGGGAGGCAGACGCATGGAGAGGGAACAAAAAAAACTCAAACTGATGAAGAGTTTCCTGGACTGCTGCTAGACTCCATAGAGGAGGTGGGATGAGAAGAGGATGTTATCCCCCACAGTTTCACCATCAACATGAGACTGTGGGGGCATTAAGCAGCTCCTTGAGCAACCGACTTCTACACACACAGTGCAAGAAGAAGGAGTGCTACCACAGACTCTTCAAAACCATCATGACACAAATGAACACTGTTTGTTGTGTCTGTCCCATTACCCATATAGTCCAGAATATGTTATATTATTGCTTTTGGCTCCTTACTTGTGTACCACCCTCCATCCAGGTGAGGTTCTTGTTGATACGGAACTCCTGGCCCACTGGCAGTGATTCATCATAGTACCCTACTGTCACCAAATCAACGCCGCCACTCTCACTTTTTTGCCAGTTCACTAGTTCGTATGTGGCCACAGGATCCCCATTGGCATCAAATGACACATCATAACCATTTTGGGAAAAATTTACTTTCTTTAGCTGAGTAAGAACCTGTGAGGATGACGTAAAGTCAGGGAGAGAGAGGAAAATGTGAAATCAAATGAATATTTGTGAAAAAAGCATTGGGGATGTCCCGTTATTTATTTCAGCTAACCTGTTTTGACTCTATCCTGTTGATTTTGTCACACTGAGTTGTAGAATTTGCATCCTGACACACTGCATTATGAATGGCATGTGCTATTGCATAAACAGCCTTGTACACCATGTTAGTGATTCGAAGTTGAGATGTGTCAGTGTATGGGCTCTGGAGAGTCCGTATGTCTTCAGATCCATCACACACACTCTCATCTGTGGCTGCACCTGAAAGACACAGAAACATAGGCAGGTGTTTCTTTAGCCATAATTTTTATATTGCATTGAATTTATTGTAGAAAATTATAAATCTAATTTATTTTTAAAACACACAAGTACTGTTTATTTAAACATCCCATTATCTGTTATCTTTTAATCTTGCCAGTTCGAATTTTTTTTCTTTTGACATTTATGTAGGGTTTTCCATCCGAACATCCCATTTATAAAATGCAAAGAAGTCCACAACTTTCCATTAATCACCAACTGAATTTATACTGTAATTATAATTTTTATTATCTCAAATCACTGACAATACAATTACCTAATTAGACCTACATAGAGGCTACTGTTACTGATAAATGCTTGTAATTATATTTTACACTTTTATTTAGCTTGGTGGCCTGGAGACTGTCTATATTCTGTGTGCTTGTGTCCAGGGCTTCAGTGTGAGTATTGTGAGACGACCGCGGGACAAAACTTCACCTGAAAGGTCATCAAGTAAAATTATTTTTGATTTTTAATGCTAACTATTCAACAGTATCAACAAACACACCCACAATGACCTGTGAATGTCAACTATGTTTAAAAGAAGCACAACTTTCTCACTTTTTCCCAGCCTGCAGTTGAATGCATCCTCCCAGAACTCAGTAAGCAGTGGAGAGGCAGCCACTTTAGAGGGAGGGAGATCCAGCAGGAATTCTCTCAGACCTGGGATGACAGATCGCTGAATGCCAAATCCGATGGCTCCAGTACAGAAGCTGAACCTCAGCATGTTTGGGTCAGTTACCCAGGCCTCACTGCCTATCCACTGGCGAGGTGGAGAAGGCTCTTGTGACAGCTCCTCCAGCAGAATACCCATGTCTCCAGAGGCTGTAAATGCCACAACAACCATAGCTGTTGACCTGGAGAGACAATACAGTGTTAGTATAAGAGTGCAAGAGTTAAAATAATTAGCACAAGAAACATGATTTTGGTGTGTGCGATGTACAGTATAGGACTTCTATTTTATTACAGTATCAGCAATATGGAAGAGATAAACATTAAAAATGATAAATTGCTAATTTGCCACAAATATAATAAAATAAACTTTATCTTATATTAAACTAAACATTGTTAATAGTTTTGTGTACAGAGGGTCAGTGTTAACACAGGGAACAAAAGCACTATCAATGATGTAGAAACCTGCGGATAACATCAGCCACTCTCTGGATCCTGTTACGTGGGTGGGTCCGATAGAAAGATACAGAGTATTCGATGCAGATCCCCAACTTCTGTGCTGCGTTTAAGAAAGATGCCATGCCATTATTGCCATAGTCTGAATCTGAATGGACAGCACCTATCCAAGTCCAGCCAAAGTGTTTTACAAGCTTGGCCAGTGCATCAGCCTGGAACTGGTCACTAGGGATTGTTCTGAAGAAAGTTGGGAACTGCTGCTTATCGGACAGACATGCACAAGTGGCAAAGTGGCTCACCTGAAGGAAAACAACACTATTATTCATTAATGGGACAGACAACACATTGAAATTGCTTCATATTAAAACGCATAGTTTCCCAGAAATTCTAAATATTTACTTGGGGAATGTTAAAGGACCCGATGATGCGTGATATGCTGATGGATGGCGTGGACCCAGACTCAGCGACAATAGCCATCACCATACCAGATTGAGAGCAGTTGTCGCCAGTGTAAAACACTGGGTCCAGTCCATTTGAAAGCTGAAATGCCACATGCACAGCAAGGGACACTGATGCGCATGAGTCGTGGATCTGATAACCGAGTTTGATGCCCGGCAGCAGCTTTGTGCTGTTGTTGATCTCCTCAATGGCAAAGATCATTGCACGTGAGAAGCGCACTTCACGGGAGTCAATGCTGCACACAGACACTCATGTCACTGTTTAAATTTACACATGATAAGGACAATTCACAATTTTAAGCGAAAACACACAATAAATGAGAACTGCAATCCACAGATATGGAAAATAACTGATAGCTGCAGTGCTGTCTGTATCTGCGAACCAAACATACATCATAGTTGCACACAATCCAAAAGGCAGGATTAGATATCAGTCCAGAATTAATAATTCACATATTCAAGAGTCAACTAAATCTGTTACCTACATACCTACATTTTCAGTTAAGAAACATAAAGTGCTAACTTTTCAAATAGTCACACTGTATTCTCTCTTTTTTTAATATAATACCCATCATTTAAAAAGGCTGTATACTGATTTGACATATGTACAATGTTTTAGTTTTAAATTCTAGACAAAAGCTTTGCAACACAATTGTAAGCTCATCATACAAATCAAAACATTTATATCCCCACACAGTGTAAAATCCTCTTATCCACCTCTTTCTCCCTCTTACTAACCTCCCTGCACACTTAAGTGGCTCAGGCATGGTGGTGTAGTTGTGCTTCACTGTGTGCATGTAGTTGTGTATGGAGAAAACACCCCCAATAACGTAGTCACCATCCATTGAGAATGCAGGTTGAAGAGCGGTACCCTGGAGCTTACATTTCACTGATGAGGCCTCAGTGCTGAACCCAGCAACAGTTCTATCCTCTGTAAACCCAGCCCCTTGTTTTAGATCATTATCAGATTTGTTCAAGGCAAGAGCTGAGTTCAGCTCACACAAACCAAGAGACAAGATCAGGCCAATAAAGAGAGCTGAGATCTCCATCCCTCAAGTGTCTGTGTGTCAGCTTGTGTTTTCATGTTTATAGATTTTCAGAGAAAATCTTCCCTCCTTCTGTTGTACGTCATCTTTCTGTACACCAGCATGAGGATGCCCTTATCCAATGGTCTTTAACTTTTTTTCCCTATTACAGTTAAGCCTAACAAATGCATATCTTGTCGATGATGATGCAATGTTTGTTTACATTCTAAATAAATCAGAATTGAATAAATTAAAATAATTTCCAGTAAAATACTGCTATAACAAAATTGTAAAATTTTCTTTTAAAGTTCAGATGCTCTGTCATCAACTAGTTCATCGCGTCTAACAAAAAGAGGAAAATGTTAAGATAAATGTTATGCTCAAAGGAAACCCAGGGCTGCTTTATGATGAAGACAGACCAGTTTCATTGGGATAGCTATTTTTCTGCATTTTTCTCTGAAATTGGATGGCCAATTTCCCATGTACTGCAGTCCCTGTCTTTACCAGCTCCTATATTTAGGTTGGGGTGGGGTGTAGACAGTCACATGCAACAAACATGAAAACCTCAGTCAGGCCGATTTCATCATTATTACCATTTGTGCTGTGCGAGTGGCCTTTATCCACATGTATGCTCACTTTCAGGGCAAATATGCAGTTGAACTGATAGTATCTCACTTATCTGTGACATAACAAAGTAAGAACATTGGAAAAGGAATCAAGTAAATCATCCAGTCAATTAACTGCAGACATTAATGATGTCCTCTTGACCTTATTCACTCACTTAAAAGACATGTGCTTTAATGAGACTAACTGAGTGTCTGAGAGTTTGATCTGGTGGTGTGGTGAACTTGAAGCCTGGTATATAAAGAGCAGTTGATTGAGGATAATTAGCACCTGGCCACTTGGCACCTACATACCAGATCCCACTCTTGTAATCAAGCACACGCAGACAGACAGACAGACAGACAGACAGACAGACAGACAGAGAGAGATTCCTGGCAAGGAGGAGGCAGAGGGCATGACAGGAATTACACAAGTTTTGTTGTTGCAAAGTTGAACAGTTGAACCTGACATCCTCCAGTGTTTTGCAGTTGCTGTAGTTCATTTATGAAAATGTATTCTGGTGACATGGCAGCACAAGAGTTTGCAAACATTGTTGCAAAACATTCATGGCAATATAAGCTGCTTTTCTTTTTGTTATACTCTATGTAATATGCCATAACATAGCCCACTCTTGCAGTTTTAACAAACTTATTTTAAAATTTCTATAGAAAAATGATTCTTCAAATAGCAATGGTTTTATTAGAATGTCATGACAGAAGTCAGTACTTCTGTCAAGAATTTTGACTTTATTTAGAACATAATGAAACATTATTTGTAAAATAATATTATAACATATTAAAAAGACATTCAAAGTTTAGAAAATATACAATGTATGTCATTTGTAAATAATATGTATATACCTAATCAGCTAGATAAAGGCAGTGTTGAATGTGCACAGCATAAGCTCTATTGCCATCTTAAATAATTTCAAACCTCAGATGTCTTTGGATTAATTTTTGTTCATTAAATGTTTCTTTGTGTTCTTCTCTGGTTTAAACAATATGATGAAACACTTTGGAGCAAATATACACAGTATTAGTCCAAAACTAGAGGCCAGAATGGCAAATATCTCTACAGCCACTGTAAATTTCCCAGGAGAGCTGACATACGCTGGGATAAAGGTGATCCAGACTGCACAGAATATCAGCATGCTGAATGTGATAAGCTTGGCTTCATTAAAATTATCAGGTAGTTTCCGGGCTAGGACAGCTAACACTAAGCAAAAGGCAGCAAGTAGGCCTATGTACCCGAGTACAGCCCAGAACCCAATAGCTGAACCTAATGCACACTCCAGGATGATTCTCTCCTTGTATACAGTTAGGTTTTTCATTGGAAAAGGGGGACTGACTACCAACCAAATAATACATATTAAAACTTGAATGAATGTGAAAGACACTACAGTCATTCTTTGCTGTGGAGGACCAAACCATTTCATAACATTACTACCTGGGAGTGTGGCTTTGAAGGCCATTAACACTACTATAGTTTTTCCGAGAACGCAAGAGATGCAGAGGACAAAGGTGATCCCAAACGCTGTGTGGCGCAGCATGCAGGACCACTCAGAGGGTGCTCCAATGAAAGTTAATGAACATAAGAAACACAGAGTCTGGGAGAAAAGCAGCAGGAAGCTCAGTTCAGAGTTGTTGGCCCTGACAATCGGGGATGTTCTGTGATGAAAAAACACAGCCGCTGTTATAATGGCAAGACAGGCACCACCAACAGAGAATGCAGCCAGGATGATTCCTAGGACCTCGTCAAAGGAAAGAAACTCTACAGGCTTGGGGAAACAAGTGTCTCTCTCTGCATTAGGCCAGAACTCCTTGAGGCAAGGGAAACAATCAGGGGAATCTGAAATAAATAAATCAAAAAGGACTTTTAGCAGTCATGTATTTGGTGTTGTATATATACATTAGAAATAAGTAAAGTACCTGTAACATTGCTTATCTCTCCCTCAGGACATGGTATACAGTCATAACAGCAGATGGGTTTTCCTTTCTGCAGCACTTTACGAGTTCCTGGACGACAGCTGTTACTGCACACTGACACAGGCACCTGGCACATAGGTACAAAGAACTCACACATATTCTGGCATGTTATGTAGCTCTTAGTGCTAAAGGATAGCTTCACAGTTCTTCTTTTGTTATAATTCTGGCTTAATATTTGTACTGAAATTTGTATTCATCATTGTAATCATTCCTCTTGTACATACTGGCCATGAAGAAATCCCCTCCTAAAACCATTTCAGTGTAACTGCTGGAGAAAACAATTAATGCAGTATTCTTTTGTGTAAGAATGCCTTCTAATGTTCAGGTGAAGCTACAATGATGTTTCTGCAGTTTGAGTCAAGTTAGTCAAAGTTATTCTTTTTAGTATGAATCTCAGACTGCTGAAGTCTCATATTATCTCTGACTCAATATTGTATGCGATTTTTGCACATAATGAGGACTGTAGTTTCTGTCCCACACATCTTACACTGCAGAATTGATCTCTTCATAGGCAGTATGGACAGGGGGAATAGGGACCAAAAATATAAGGATATTAACCAAGCTGACATTAATCATGAACAACATCTCCCACCCCCTGCATGAGACTTTGGGGGCCTTAAGCAGCTCCTTGGGCAACAGACTGACATGCCCACAGCGCAAGAAGAAGGAGCGCTACCGCAGTTCCTTCAATACAATGGCCGACTCTAGCATGACATCATTTAGTACTGTTTTTTCATTGGTTTAAACACAACAGCTACAGTTTTTCACTATTCATCATATCTTTAACTCAGGTTTATCATCCTACTTATTCAAATGTATACATATACACAGCATTTACATACTATACACACTATATATCATTTTAATGTATAATACACATTGCACATTATTCAGGTATGCTTTGCAAATATCATGTGCATATATGCATACATTTAGATAAAAATATCTGAATATAGTTTGTCTCTCTGTATATACACTGACAGGGGAAGTGAATAACACTGATTATCTGGTTATCATGGCACCTGTCAGTGGGTGGGATATATTAGACAGCAAATGGCCATTTTTTTCCACAAAGTCAATTTGTCAGAATGGGCAGCGTAAAGATTTGACTGACTTTGACAAGAGCCAAATTGTGATGTCTGGACAACTGGGTCAGAGCATCTCCAAAACTGCAGCTCTTGTGGGGTGTTCCCGGTTTGCAGTGGTCAGTACCGATCAAAAGTGGCCTAGGGGCTGAAAAGTGGTGAACCAGCGTCATGGGTGTCCATGGCTCATTGATGCATGTGGGGAGCGGAGTCTGGCCCGTGTGGTCTGATCCAACAGACAAACTACTAAATTGCTGAAAAAGTTAATGCTGTTTCTGATAGAAAGGTGTCAGAACACATAGTGCATTACAGTTTGTTGCTAATGGGGCTGCTCAATGTATATATCACGATATAGATATATTTCATTTTGATTATTATGCTGTGCGCTACTTTTTCTGTGCAATTATATTTAACTAAACAAGCAAATAATATCTGCTTTTTTAATCAGTTTTTTTTTTTGTTTGAATATGTTAAATTGTAACTTTGCGGCTCCTTACTTTTGTACCACCCTCCACCCAGGTGAGGTTCTTGTTGATACGGAACTCCTGGCCCACCGGCAGTGATGCATCATAGTACCCTACTGTTACCATCTCAATGCTGCCACTATTACTTTTTTGCCAGTTCACCAGCTCGTATGTGGCCACAGGATCCCCGTTGGCATCAAATGACACATCATAACCATTTTGGGAAAAATGTACTTTCTTTAGCTGAGTAAGAACCTGTGGGGATAAAGTAAAGGAAGACAGAGAGGGAGAGGGAGGAAAATGTGAAATCAATTGAGTATTACATTTCATAAAAGGTACATTATAATGAAAGAAAGTAGCATTGGGATGTTCCCATTTTAATTTTGATTGACCTGTTTTGCTTCTGTCCTAGAGAATTTGTCACACTGAATTGTAGAATTTGTGTCCTGACACACTGCATTATGAATGGCATGTGCTATTGCATAAACAGCCTTGTACACCATGTTAGTGATTCGGAGTTGAGATGTGTCAGTGTACGGGCTCTGGAGCGTTCGTATGTCTTCAGATCCATTACACACATTCTCATCTATGGAGGCACCTAAAAACACACAGAGACAGAGGGACGTGCCTTGTTGCAATAACAGTTTGATACCATTAATGTTAATATGCTTATTTTACATTACTTAACAGAAGTACTGTTTGTCATACATGCTCCATCAATTATCTTTTTAACAGCCTCTTTTTCTTCTTTTTCTCTCATTAATGTCTGGCTTGATTTGTTTTGTTTTTACCTTTATGTAGGTAATTTAATTCCAATTTCATCAATTTCAATTTCATATATTCATGCCAAATTAACACAATTTATCATTTATTTTTATTAACACTGACAATACAATCACCTAATAGACCTGTTGCATACTAGGAAGAACATTTTTACATCTTTTTTTAGATTGATGGCCTGGAGACTGTGTATATTCTGTGTGCTTGTGTTCAGGGCTTCAGTGTGAGTAATGTGAAATGGTTGCAGGCAAGTCCAAACTAAATATTTTTGAAAGACAGCCGAGGGACAAAACTTGACCTGAAAGGTCATCAACTGAAATTATATAGAGAGATGAACCTTACTTCCACATCATCTCCTCGTTTTTTTTTTTTTTTTTTGTCCAATATCAATAGACTTCCCTCTTAATAAAAATCTAGGGTTTGATCTTAAAGTACCTGCTGAATATTTAACACAGGAAGCTCCACTCAAATAGAGAATCAACAAAACAACCCAACCGCAAGGGCCTGTGAAGATCAGCAAAACCTTCTCACTTTTTCCCAGCCTGCAGTTGAATGCACCCTCCCAGAACTCAGTAAGCAGTGGAGAGGCAGCCACTTTCGAGGGAGAGAGATCCAGCAAGAATTCTCTCAGACCTGGGATGACAGATTGCTGAATACCAAATCCGATAGCTCCAGCACAGAAGCTGAACCCCAGCATGTCTGGGTCTGTTACCCAGGACTCACTGCCTATCCACTGGCGAGGTGGAGAAGGCTCGCGTGACAGCTCCTCCAGCAGGATCCTCATGTCTCCAGAGGCTGTAAATGCCACAACAACCATAGCTGTTGACCTGTAAAGACATTGTAGTGCATTTTATAATACCAATATAATTATAGGTATATTTGATGAAACATGGTTTCTGGTTTTGTGTGCGAAGGTCAGTGTTAACAGAGTGAACAACAGCAAAATCAGTGATGTAGAAACCTGCGGATAACATCAGCCACTCTCTGGATCCTGCTACGTGGGTGGGTCCGATAGAAAGATACAGAGTATTCCACACAGATCCCCTCCTTCTGTGCTGCGTCCAGGAAAGATGCCATGCCATTATTGCCATAGTCTGAATCTGACCGGACAGCACCTATCCAAGTCCAGCCAAAGCGTTTTACCAGCTTGGCCAGTGCGTCAGCCTGGAACTGGTCACTAGGGATTGTTCTGAAGAAACTCGGGTACTGCTGCTTATTAGACAGGCATGCACAAGTGGCAAAGTGGCTCACCTGAAAGGAAACAAAAGTGTTATTATTTAATTTATTTATTTATTTATGTTATTAGCATTGGCTAATATAAAAAGACAAAGTTTGTCAGAAATTCAGAATATTTACTTGGGGAATGTTAAAGGACCCGATTACGCGTGACATGCTGATGGATGGCGTGGACCCAGACTCACCAACGATAGCCATCACCATACCAGATTGAGAGCAGTTGTCAGCAGTGTAAAACACCGGGTCCAGGCCATTTGCAAGCTGGAATGCCAAATGCACCACCAGGGACACTGAGGCACACGAGTCATGGATCTGATAACCGAGTTTGATGCCCGGCAGCAGCTGTGTGCTGTTGTTAATCTCCTCGATGGCAAAGACCATTGCACGTGAGAAGCGCAGTTCACGGGATTTGATGCTGCACACAGACATTCATGTCACTCTTGAAATATATACATGATAAGAACAGTTCACAGTTTTAACAGAAAACACACAATAAAGCAGAACTGCAATCCATAGTTTTGGACAATAACTGAAAGCTGCATTGCATCTGTCAACCAAACATACATCATAGTTGCACACAATCCAAAAGGCAGGATTAGATATCAGTCCAGAATTAATAATTCACATATTTAACATATTTAATACTTCACACAGTTACCAAATTCAAAACACTGGATTAGATATCAATCCAAAATTCTGAATGAACATATTAAACATAGTCAACAATCGAAATTTTAACAGTTTTCATCCTGTTAAATATTTATAAAACTGTTTTTAAAAACCCCTATACAACACCTATATTTTCAGAAATTATAAACTTTTCAATACTTCATAAAAGCTTTGCAACATGATTTAAGCACATCATACAAATCAAAACATCTATATCCCCACGCAGTCTAACATCCTCATATCCACCTGTTCTCCCTCTTACTAACCTCCCTGTGCACCTTATTGGCTCAGGCATGGTGGTGTAGTTATGCTTCACTGTGTGCATGTAGCTGTGGATGGAGAAAACACCCCCAATAACGTAGTCACCATCCATTGAGAATGCAGGTAGACGTGCAGTACCCTGGAGCTTACATTTCACTGATGAGGACTCAATGCTGACCCCAGCAACAGTCCTATCCTCTGTAAGCCCAGACCTTTGTTTCAGACCATTATCAGATTTGTTCAAGGCAAGAGCTGAGTTCAGCTCACACAAACCCAGAGACAGGATCAGGCAAATAAAGAAAGCTGAGATCTCCATCCCTCAAGTGTCTGCGTATTGGCATATATATGTGTGTTTTTAAGTTTATATAGATTTTCAAACAAATGCTTCCCTCCTTCTGTTGTACGTCAGCTTACTGTACATCAGAGGGAGGATACTTAATTGTCTTTGGTTGACTTTTTTTCTATTACAGTTAAGCGTAACAAATTCACATCTTTAATGCATTGCTCCTTTCCATTCTAAATAAACCACATTTGTGTAAATCACATTGTTTCAGTATGATCTATTTGAACATAATATCCATATATAATAATAATAATAATAATAATAATAATAATAATAATAATAATAATAATAATATTATGCTATTACAAAACTGTGAATTTCATTTTAAAGTTCCGCTGCTCTGTTATCAACTGGTTCTCTTTATTAAGTCTGATAAAAAGAGGAAAATGGTAAGATAAATGTTATGCTCAAAGGAAACCAAGGGTGCTAAGATGAAAAGAAACCAGTCTCATTGCTGAAATTGCTCTTAGATGAAAAAGACGAATGTAAAGGGGAAGCTATTTTTTCAGAACTTTTCCATTTTTTCTGCCAGTTTGGATGGCCAGTTTCCCATGCACTACAGTTGCTGTTTCGCTAGCTCCTTCTTTTAGATTGAGGGACGGTGTAGACAGCCATACTATGTGCCATACTATGTGTCACATGTAACGTGAGGCCAGGTTCATCAATCTGTGCTGTGTGAATGGCCTTTATCCCTGCTTATGTCAACACTCAAATATACAGAAATATACTGATCAGCCATCACATTATAATATATATAGTATATATCATAATCCTTTCGTTCATGAAAATCAATATTGATTTTGGGATAATGACATGGCTGGAGAGGTAGTTTGCCTTGTTATTAAACATACTGTGAATTTATATTAACCCTTTCTCGACATTATGCACTGTTATTGACTTTGAATCTTCCGAACATAACGTTAGCTCCCTTTCTCATAGCTGAGCCAAAGGGCTCTCTGAGCGGAGGGAAGTAGAAACATTTCTCATTGCCAAGTCGTAATGGTTCGTCCTATTTACTTGAGTAGTGAACAACATTTCCATTGCATTAGAATATTATGGTATGGTAATGATTCTTCCAGGAATTAGGAAGGACCTCAAGTGTTACCAGGGAAACAGAGTTATGGCTTGTAATAAACTTTAGATTTTAATTGCAAAATGCTTGTATAGAATAATTATCCCTTTGTTTTTATGGAGGCAACAATAGCCAACTCTTTCTGCATTAAGCTTGCATTCTCTCAATTTAAATTATTTTCAAATTTAAATTTCAAAATCACTTTTCAAACAACAATATTAGCAGAATGTCAAGACAGAACTCTGTATTTTTGTTAAGAATATTGACTTTATTTAGAACACGATGGAAACTATATGACATTAAAAGGACATTAAAAAAATTACAGTGCGTTTAAAAAATATTTATTGTATAAACACTTGTAAATGTAAATTAACATTAAAATCAGCTAAGTGAAGACAGTCTTGAATGCATACGCTCTATTGCTATCTAAACTATTTCCAAACCTCAGATATCTTTGGATTGATTTTTGTTCATTAAATGTTTTTTGGTATTTTTCTCTGGTTTGAACAATATGATGAAACACTTTGGAGCAAATATACACAGTATTAGTCCAAAACTAGAGGCCAGAATGGCAAATATCTCTACAGCCACTGTAAATTTCCCAGGAGAGCTGACATACGCTGGGATAAAGGTGATCCAGACTGCACAGAATATCAGCATGCTGAATGTGATAAGCTTGGCTTCATTAAAATTATCAGGTAGTTTCCGGGCTAGGACAGCTAACCCAAAGCAAAACACAGCCAGAAGGCCTATGTACCCGAGAACAACCCAGAACCCAATAGCTGAACCTAATGCACACTCCAGGATAATCTTCTCCTTGTATATGGTTAGGTTTTTCATTGGAAAAGGGGGACTGACAACCAACCAAATAGTACATATTAAAACTTGAATGAAGGTGAAAGACACTACAGTCATTCTTTGCTGTGGAGGACCAAACCATTTCATAACATTACTACCTGGGAGTGTGGCTTTGAAGGCCATTAACACTACTATAGTTTTTCCAAGAACACAAGAGATGCAGAGGACAAAGGTGATCCCAAACGCTGTGTGGCGAAGCATGCAGGACCACTCAGAGGGTGCTCCAATGAAAGTTAATGAACATAAGAAACATAGAGTCAGGGAGAAGAGCAGCAGGAAGCTCAGCTCAGAGTTGTTGGCCCTGACAATCGGGGATGTTCTGTGATGAAAGAACACAGCCGCTGTTATAATGGCAAGACAGGCACCACCAACAGAGAATGCAGCCAGGATGATTCCTAGGACCTCGTCAAAGGAAAGAAACTCTACAGGCTTGGGGAAACAAGTGTCTCTCTCTGCATTAGGCCAGAACTCCTTGGGGCAAGGGAAACAATCAGGAGAATCTGAAAAATCAAAAAGAGCTTTTAGCGCTCATTTACTTGATGTTGTGGAAATGCATTGCAAAAAAAAAAAAAGAAAGTACCTGTAACATTGCTTATCTCTCCCTCAGGACATGGTATACATTCATAACAGCAGACGGGTTTTCCTTTCTGCAGCACTTTACGAGTTCCTGGAGTACAGCTGTCACTGCACACTGACATAGGCACCTGGACACATAAATACAAACTCACACATTTTCATGTCTTTTTCTGCAGATTTTAGGATTAATGAAGTCAGTAATGAATCAAGTCTGACTTAAAAGTCCAGTGATTAGGATTTAGTGGCTTCTGGTGGTGTAGTTCAAATGCTCAACTCCTTCATTTCACCCTCCCCTTCAAAGTGCAAAGGAGAAACTAAGGTTGCCATGAAATGTGAGAATGGCTACATCTGCAGCCAGGGTTTGGTTTGTCCATTCTGGGCTACTGTAGAAACATGATGGTTCAACATGGTGGCCTTTCTTACTTTAAGGTGATTTTACACGAATGAAAACATAGTTTAGCATATTATATTCCAATCATGCCAATGGACCCCACTAAATGTTACACTCTGCACCTTTAAAACAATACTCACATGGCAATATGTGTACAGAAACGGTTACTGGTCATTGTAACCATCTTGTTCATACTGGCTGAAGAAATGCCTTCATAAAGCCATTTCAATGTAGCTGCTGTTGTAACGTCATTGATATGTTAAATTATTGCTTTTGTGCTCCTTACTTGTGTACCACCCTCCACCCATGTGAGGTTCCTGTTGATACGGAACTCCTGGCCCACCGGCAGTGATGCATCATAGTACCCTACTGTCACCAACTCAATGCTGCCACTCTCACTTTTTTGCCAGTTCACCAGCTCGTATGTGGCCACAGGATCCCCGTTGGCATCAAATAACACATCATAACCATTTTGGGAAAAATTTACTTTCCTCAGCTGATGAAGAACCTGCGAGGAGGATGTGAAGTCATCAGTCAGTGACAGTGAGGGAGAGAAAAAGGAAAATGTCAAATCAAATACATATTACATTTAACTAAAGGTACATTACAGTGAAAAGGAATGCTTTCGGGTTTGTTTGTTTCATTTTGACTAACCTGTTTTGACTCTATCCTGGTGATTTTGTCACACTGAGTTGTAGAATTTGCATCCTGACACACTGCATTATGAATGGCATGTGCTATTGCATAAACAGCCTTGTAAACCATGTTAGTGATTCTGAGTTGAGATGTGTCAGTGTACGGGCTCTGGAGAGTCTGTATGTCTTCAGATCCATCACACACAATCTCATCTGTGGCTGCAGCTAAGAACACACAGACACAGAGGGAGGTGTTTTTTAGCCATAAAAATTATATTATATTGTTATTCTTTCTAACGTGTTTAATATTCTTTTTTTGTTTTCTTGTTTTATTTCAACTGCCAATTGTCCCTTGTAGAAAGTGATACATCTATATTTTTCAGATTTATTCATAAAATATACTTATTGTATATTACATTACAGAAACACTTTTTAAGCCATGCCTTTATTTGTTATCTGTCAAATAGTGTCTTCTTCAGTTTGGGCCTGATTGTTTTTTTCTTTACCTTTATATAGGGTCTTCCATCCCAACTCAACATAAAACAGTCAGCAGATCACAAAAAATGTCCACAACTTTCCACAATGTGTTTAAAATAAATGATCTGAAGTCACTGACAATATAAATAGACCTACACACAGGCTACTGCTACTGATAAAGGCTAGTACAAGTACATTTTAGCAGCTTTATGTATCTATATTCTACATTCATCATCTCCTCGTCCTTTTTTAAAATCAATAGATTTCCCTCTTAATAGAAATCTAAGGTTGGATCTTAAAGCACCTGCTGACTATTTAACACAGGAAGCTCCACATAAACAGACAATCAACAAAGTAACACAGCCACAAAGGCCTGTGAATGTCAACTATGTTTAAAATCAGCTTAACTTTCTCACATTCTCCCAGCCTGCAGTTGAATGCATCCTCCCAGAACTCAGTAAGCACTGGGGAGGCAGCCACTTTAGAGGGAGAGAGATCCAGCAAGAATTCTCTCAAACCTGGGATGACAGATTGCTGAATACCAAATCCGATGGCTCCAGCACAGAAGCTGAACCTCAGCATGTCTGGGTCTGTTACCCAGGCCTCACTGCCTATCCACTGGCGAGGTGGAGAAGGCTCTCGTGAAAGCTCCTCTAGCAGGATCTTCAAGTCACCAGGGGCTGTAAACGCCACAATAACCAAAGCTGTTGACCTGGAGAGAAATTAAAGTGCATTAATTATACCAATGTAAACATAAAGTGAGTGTGTTAACAAAACAAACATAAAAAATAATAAAAACAATATTGACACATAGAATGTGGTGTTGGTCTCACTGAATCTATTCCTAAAATATTATCAATAATGAATATAAGAAATAAACATATTGAAAAAAGATAATTTGATAATTTAATAAAATAATCTTCAATCTCATATTTGACTAAATGTTTTTTAGATTTGTGTGCGGAGGGTCAATGTCAGCACAGGGAACAAAAGAGCAATCAATGACCTGCGGATAACATCAGCTACTCTTTGGATCCTGCTATGTGGATGAGTCCGATAGAAAGATTCTGAGTATTCCACACAGATCCCCTCCTTCAGTGCTGCATCCAGGAAAGATGCCATCCCATTATTGCCATAGTCCGAATCCGACCGGACAGCACCTATCCAAGTCCAGCCAAAGCGTTTTACCAGCTTGGCCAGCGCGTCAGCCTGGAACTGGTCACTAGGGATTGTTCTGAAGAAACTCGGGAACTGCTGCTTATCGGACAGACATGCACAAGTGGCAAAGTGGCTCACCTGAAGGGAAATAAAAGTGTTATTCTTTAATGGGACACACAGAACATTGACATTGGCTTATATTAAAACACATAGTTTGGCATAAATTCGAAATAATTACTTGTGGAATGTTAAAGGACCCGATTACGCGCGACATGCTGATGGATGGCGTGGACCCAGACTCACCGACTATAGCCATCACTATACCAGATTGTGAGCAATTGTCAGCAGTGTAAAACACCGGGTCCAGGCCATTAGCAAGCTGGAATGCAACATGCACTGCAAGGGACACTGAGGCACACGAGTCGTGGATCTGATAACCGAGTTTGATGCCGGGCAGCAGCTCTGAGCTGTTGTTAATCTCCTTGATGGCGAAGACCATTGCACGTGAGAAGCGCAATTCACGGGAGTCAATGCTGCACACAGACACTCATGTCAATGTTCAAATTTACTGATGATAAAAACAGTTCAATTTTGTTTTACAGAAAATACACAATAAGTGAGAATTGTGATTCAGAGATATGGAAAATAACATGTTAGCTGCAGTGCATCTGTGAACCAAATACATATCACAGAGTTCCAATCCAAAGCACGGGATAAGATTTCATATTGCACATATTTAACATAGACAACTAAATAGTAATGATTTTTTTGAAAACACTACATTTTTAGTTACGAAATATAAAATGCTTATTTTTCAAATAGTCACACTGTATGCTCTATTTTTTTCCAAATATAATACCTGTCATTTGTGTGGCTCTATACCCTTTTTTGTTTTACCTTTACATGACACAAAAGCTTTGCAACACAATTGTAAGCTCATCATACACATTAAAATATTTCTATCCCCACACAGTCTAACATCCTTGTATCCACCACTTCTCCCTCTTACTAACCTCCCTGTGCACTTTAGTGGCTCAGGCTTGGTGGTGTAGTTTTGCTTGACTGTGTGCATGTAGCTGTGTATGGAGAAAACACCCCCAATAACGTAGTCACCATCCATTGAGAATGCAGGTAGACGAGTGCTACCCTGGAGCTTACATTTATCAGATGAGGCCTCAGTGCTGAACCCAGCAACAGTCCTATCCTCTGTAAGCTCAGCACTTTCTTTTAGACCATCCCCAGAGCCATTCAAGGCAAGAGCTGAATTCAACTCACACAAACCCAGAGACAGGATCAGGCCAATAAACAGAGTTGAGATCTCCATCCCTCAAGTGTCTGTGTTTTGGCATATTGTGTTTTCATTCCTTTATATAGATTTTTCGACAAAAGCTTCCCTCCTTCAATTGTACGTAAGCTTACTCTACATCAGAGAGAGAGGGAGAGAAAGAGAGAGAAGGGGGAGAGAGAGAGAGAGAGAGAGAGAGAGAGAGAGAGAGAGAGAGAGAGAGAGAGGATGCCCTTATCCAATGTTCTTTGAATATGCAATATAATTTTCATCAAGTGTCCCTGTCTGTTTTCTCATTTCATAATTGTCCTGCCATTATACCTTTTTTGTTTTTGTTTTTCCCACAAAATCCATACTTATGCTATTACGAAACTGTCTTGTGAGTTACCTGAAGTTCAGCTGCTTTATTCCAACTCATTCCATTGTGTCTGATAAAAAAGGACAAATGTTGATTAATATATATACTTAAAGGAAACCTAGGGTGCTTTAAAATGAACACAAACCAGTTTGTTTGCTGGTATTTCCCTCAGCAGAAAAAGTCAAATTGTATTTTTCCAATTTTTATCGCAATTTGGAATGGCCACATTCACATGCATGTCAGTCCTTGTCTTTGCCACGTCCTACATTAGCTTGGGGAACAGCCAAGACTCTAGCAGTCACAGACACAGTGAGGCCAAGCTTATAATTTTTTCCAAGTATGCAGATATAGTGGAGGTATTTGCTTTTGTAGTCTACAGCTTTGGCATCTTGATGGCACTGTTTGTAGTCCTGCTGAGACATTCCTTTAAGGATGACAATGGACAAGTGTATTTAGTGGCATATTGCAGTGTAGTTGGAGATTGCAACTCCCTTGTTTCACCCTCCCCTTCCAAACATGTAGGAGAAACTACAGTGGCTGCCAATTGATCCTCCTAAAAGTAACCCACTGGGCCTTTGAATGTAACTTACTAACAGAATGGATTGAGATAGAATCAAGCTGCTAAGGAAGAACTGAGTCTTTCATCATTATTGAGCAAAGGGAGTGTCCCACAGTAACAACTGCTCCTGCGCTGTTTGACACACCTCATTTGTATTCAGCCTTTTCTTTCATTTCTCTATGACATCATAGAGAAACACGGCACCACCATAGGCTAGGCTACAGTCCAGTCCACCAAAATCTAATGAATCTGTCTCGCTGGCTGCCATTGTTGTTTTAACTGGTATCACAAAGATGTGTTACAGATGCAAAGCACGCCAATTGTTACTGGCTGCAAGAACCAACACGTCTTCATCTACTCTCACCTGTTCAAGGCATCACCTTCCGATGCCGTCATTACGTCAGAGGGAATAAAAACAGACTTTATTATATATTTTACTGTAACACGACAGTGCTCATTATCCACAATTTCAACAAAAGGGTGATAGTATGATCAGTTTATCAAACAGCTGTTGAACAAGCAGAACACAAAAGTTTGAGACTTTGGCCACTTTGACAGTGCAAATAGCTGTTTCGTCGTGCCTCCCCCTGCATATTTTGACCACATATGAAAGTGGCCCAAATCAGAATTTAAAAGATCAGATTCCATGTAGCTACCCCATTCTGTGCATTCTCACCATTTAAATTGTTTTTCAGTCATACAAAAATATAGCAATAATTTCTCTCAAAGAATGTTGAGACCGGACTCAGTACTGTACATTTCTGTTATGAATTTTAACTTTATTTAGAATATGATGATGAAAAATAGGACAATCACATGTTAAAAGGACATTCAAAAATGTAATTGAAAGCTAGAAAATATTTGTATATATTATAGTTTTGTAAATATTTAAATCACCTAGGCAAAGACTGTTTGAATGTGCACAGTATGAACTGTATCTTGTCATCTTAACTGTTTCCAAACCTTGGATGGTTTAGGACTCATTTTTGTTCATTAAATGTTTCTTGGTATTTTTCTCTGGCTTAAACAATATGATGAAACACTTTGGAGCAAATATACACAGTATTAGTCCAAAACTGGAAGCCAGAATGGCAAATATCTCTACAGCCACTGTAAATTTCCCAGGAGAGCTGACATACGCTGGGATAAAGGTGATCCAGACTGCACAGAATATCAGCATGCTGAATGTGATAAGCTTGGCTTCATTAAAATTATCAGGTAGTTTCCGGGCTAGGACAGCTAACACGAAGCAAAAGGCAGCCAGAAGGCCTATGTACCCGAGTACAGCCCAGAACCCAATAGCTGAACCTAATGCACACTCCAGGATGATTCTCTCCTTGTATACTGTTAGGTTTTTCATTGGAAAAGGGGGACTGACTACCAACCAAATAATACATATTAAAACTTGAATGAAGGTGAAAGACACTACAGTCATTCTTTGCTGTGGAGGACCAAACCATTTCATAACATTACTACCTGGGAGTGTGGCTTTGAAGGCCATTAACACTACTATAGTTTTTCCAAGAACACAAGAGATGCAGAGGACAAAGGTGATCCCAAATGCTGTGTGGCGAAGCATGCAGGACCACTCAGAGGGTGCTCCAATGAAAGTTAAGGAACATAAGAAACACAGAGTCAGGGAGAAGAGCAGCAGGAAGCTCAGTTCAGAGTTGTTGGCCCTGACAATCGGGGATGTTCTGTGACGAAAGAACACAGCCGCTGTTATAATGGCAAGACAGGCACCACCAACAGAGAATGCAGCCAGGATGATTCCTAGGACCTCGTCAAAGGAAAGAAACTCTACAGGCTTGGGGAAACAAGTGTCTCTCTCTGCATTAGGCCAGAACTCCTTGGGGCAAGGGAAACAATCAGGAGAATCTGAAAAAAATCAAGAAGAGCTTTTAGCGCTCATTTACTTGATGATGCGGAAATGCATTGCAAAAAAAGAAGAAAGTACCTGTTACATTGCTAATCTCTCCCTCAGGACATGGTATACAGTCATAACAGCAGATGGGTTTTCCTTTCTGCAGCACTTTACGAGTTCCTGGACGACAGCTGTCACTGCACACTGATACAGGCACCTGGCACATAGGTACAAACAAACTCACATATTCAGGTGTGTTATGTAGCTCTTAGTATTAAGGGATGGGTTCACATTTTTTAAAGGTACAGCATGTAACATTTAGGAGGACCTACTGACAGAAATGTAATATTAATAGGTATGTTTTCATTCGTGTATAATAATCTGAATGTAGTAATCTTTCCATGACCTTAGAAGGAAACGTTTTTATCTACAGACGCCATGGATCGCCTTCCATGGTGTCCGCCACGTAGTCTACAGAAGCCCATAAAAAACAAACTAACGTTGGCTGTAGATCGGGCATTAAACATTTAAACACCTTGTTCTCATTCCCAGGTCTTGAAATAGATTAGAAATGTGGCAGTTGAACATGAGTTTGTAGAGGAGGACCTGTTTTTATTTTTAGGTCACATGAGACAACCTAGAAGTGTGGCAGTTTTTGTTATTATTTCATTTTGGGTAGATGAACCAACAGAATGAATAACTTAGTAGACTGGACGCTTCCATTTAGAAATCTATTTTAGTTTAAGGAATATGTATTTTGCAAATGAGGACAATACATTAACAAACTGAAACAATGTAGTAAAAGAAAAATACTTATATGGTGAATACACAAATTAAGGGTAAATTAAGTGAAGTTTCCCTGTTTCATTTGTTTCCACAATGTAATTTTTGCAGAAACTATTATCTATTTGGTCTCAGTTCAGTATCACATTTACGTACAAACCCATTCTAAAGTTCAGCTGATGCTTAAATTAGCTGTCAAAGTCAAACAAATAAGGTCATTACCTTTCAAACTTAGTCCTTTTGTGCAAATCCCTTCTTTTTGGTGCTACCCCTCCACCAAAAGTATTACAAAAAACTATAAAGGGGGGGATTTCAGGCTGATAATACTGTAACATACCCACTTCATTTGTCTATCTTAGACTGCTGAGGTCTCATAATATCTGAAAAGATCTCTGCACAGACAGCAGGGCCAGGAGAGACAGAGAAACAAAAACACATATTGTACCATTTGAGATCAACCAATTTGTTAAACCATTGCTTGTGGGCTCATTACTTGTGTGCCACCCTCCACCCAGGTGAGGTTCCTCTTGATACGGAACTCCTGGCCCACTGGCAATGATGCATCATAGTATCCTACTGTCACCATCTCAATGCTGCCACTCTCACTTTTTTGCCAGTTCACCAGCTCATATGTGGCCACAGGATCCCCATTGGCATCAAATGACACATCATAACCATTTTGGGAAAAATTTACTTTCTTCAGCTGAGTAAGAACCTGTGAGGATGACGTAAAGTAAAAAAGTGAGGGAAAAAATAAAGTCATATAAAATATACCAGATATAAAAAAAAAATGTAATTGGGGTTGATCACTTATTTATTTCAATTGACCTGTTTTGACTCTATCCTGGTGTTTTTGTCACACTGAGTTGTAGAACTTGCTTCCTGACACACTGCATTATGAATGGCATGTGCTATTGCATAAACAGCCTTGTAAACCATGTTAGTGATTCGGAGTTGAGATGTGTCAGTGTACAGGCTCTGGAGAGTCTGTATGTCTTCAGTTCCATCACACACACTCTTGTCGATGGCTGCACCTGAAACACACATAAGACATAGGAAGGTGTTTATTTAGCCTTGACAAATATTTTACATTAATCTGTCTTCCGTCCGTATTTATGATTCCTTTTTGCTTTTTTTGTTTTATTTAACTCGCCAAATGTGTCCTGCACAAACTCATATATCTCTCTACATTACATTGCAAATTACTATTTTGCAGAAATACCATCATATCATTTTTAAATAGCTGCTATTTCAATTTATGTCAGGCTCTGTTTTTATTTTTTACCTTTATGTATTCCAACACACTTTAACAAGAATCACTGATCACACAATTGTTTCCATTAATAAAAGGCAAAAGGTTTTCAACTTTTGTATAAATCACCAACTAATTTGACCTGTTTTAATGTCCTTCAAATTGATAAAGGAAATGAAATCACTGTAAGTATGATAGCCATATTATACCTAGATTGTTACTGATACATGCTAATAAATACAATTATTAATCTCTGTTCAGCTTAGTGATCTGAAGACTGTCTATACATTGTGTGTTTGTTTTTAGGACATCAGTGTTGGCATTGTGAAACCACTGCAGCCAGAAAACTCCACTCAGACATATAATCAACAAAACAACAGAATCACAGGGACCCAGCGGTAAATGTGAGCTATGTTAAGACACAACAGAACTGTCTCACTTTTTCCCAGCCTGCAGTTGAATGCACCCTCCCAGAACTCAGTAAGCACTGGGGAGGCAGCCACTTTAGAGGGAGAGAGATCCAGCAAGAAGTCTCTCAGACCTGGGATGACAGATTGCTGAATGCCAAATCCGATAGCTCCAGCACAGAAGCTGAACCTCAGCATGTCTGGGTTGGTTACCCAGGCCTCGCTGCCTATCCACTGGCGAGGTGGAGATGGCTCATGCGACAGCTCCTCCAGCAGGATCTTCAGGTCACCAGAGGCTGCAAATGCCACAATAACCATAGCTGTTGACCTGGAGAGACAATATGGTGCATTAAATAGAATAACAATATAAGCATAACAATTACGTTTTTAAACAATTCTTATACAGTAAACACAAAGAAAAATGAGAAATACTTCAGTTAGGGTATGTTATGAAAAAGATTTTAAAAAAGAGACTGCAAATTTGCAACAAAGAAAATAAAATAATCTTATATCTTATGTTTGCCTAAACATTGTTAATAGTTTTGTGTGCAAAGGGTCAGTGTTAACACAGGGAACAAAAGCACTATCAGTGATGTAGAGACCTGCGAATAACATCAGCCACTCTCTGGATCCTGCTACGTGGGTGGGTTCGATAGAAAGATACAGAGTATTCCACACAGATCCCCTCCTTCTGTGCTGCGTTCAGGAAAGACGCCATGCCATTATTGCCATAGTCCGAATCCGACCGGACAGCACCTATCCAAGTCCAGCCAAAGTGTTTTACCAGCTTGGCCAGCGCATCAGCCTGGAACTGGTCACTAGGGATTGTTCTGAAGAAAGCCGGGTACTGCTGCTTATTAGACAGGCATGCACAAGTGGCAAAGTGGCTCACCTAATGAAAAACAACAGTGTAACTCACGCTGACAGGCAGAAAAATCAGCACTGGCTTAACATTAAACAGAAATTGAGAGAGAAATTGAAAACATTTACCAGAGGAATGTTAAAGGACCCAATGATGCGCGACATGCTGATGGATGGTGTGGACCCAGACTCACCGACAATAGCCATCACCATACCAGACTGCGAGCAATTGTTGCCAGTGTAAAACACCGGGTCCAGGCCATTTGAAAGCTGGAAGGCCAAATGCACCGCCAAGGGCACTGCAGCACATGAGTCGTGGATCTGATAACCGAGTTTGATGCCTGGCAGCAGCTGTGTGCTGTTGTTAATCTCCTCAATGGCAAAGACCATTGCATATGAGAGGCGCAATTCACGTGAGTCAATGCTGCACACAGACACTCATGTCAATGTTCAAATTTACATATGATAAGAACAATTCCTTTCACATTTCAATAGTCAAAATCTACTTTCATCGTCTATTTTATCCTGTCAAAATTATAGGATTTTTCAAGCTTTCGAGACTGCATACAAGCTTTGAAATACAGTTGTAAGCACATCATTCAAATCAAAACATTTCTATCTACACACAGTGTAACATCATTATATCCAACACTTCTCCCTCTTACTAACCTCCCTGTGCACTTCATTGGCTCAGGCATGGTGGTGTAGTTATGCTTCACTGTGTGAACGTAGTGGTGTATGGAGAAAACACCCCCAATAACGTAGTCACCATCCATTGAGAATGCAGGTAGACGAGTGCTACCCTGGAGCTTACATGTCACTGATGAGGCCTCAGTGCTGAACCCAGCAACAGACCTATCCTCAGTAAGCCCAGCCCTTTGTTTTAGACCATTATCAATATCATTCAAGGCAAGAGCTGAATTCAGCTCACAGACACCCAGAGACAGGATCAGGCCAATGGAGAGAGCTGAGAGCTCCATCACTCAAGTGTCTGTATACAGGCATACTGTATGTGTGTTTTCACTGGTTTATATAGATTTTGAGACAAAACCTTCCTTCCTTCAATTGTACGTCACCCCTACTAATACATCAGAGAGAGGATGTCCTTACCCAATAGTATTTGAGAAACTTTTTATCAAGCCTTTCCCTTTGTCTCTTTTCTCCTCTTGAAAAATTATCATGTAAACACTAGATATATTTAAAGATTTTTCCTACCCCAACACTTTGTTTTTTAGCTCATCCAGTTAACCCTAACAAATGCAATCCTTTGTTTATGTGACTTATTCTCATCTTAAAGGACAAGTGTGTAAGATTCAGCAGCATCTACCCATGTAGTTGCAGATTACAACTGCTTTGCTTCACTCTCCCCTTCCAAGCATTAAGGGGAAAATGCAGCAGCGAAAAGTAACAAAAAATTAAAATTCTTATTTTATTTTATTTTTCTAGGTTTTTTACATTAATAAAAACATAGTTATGCATATTATCTTTAATGTCTGACAATGAATCCTAATAAATGTTACACTGAGTCTTTATATAAGTAAGATTTATTGTTCCGCTATGATATATTGGAACCAAAATGTTGAGATAGACCTCAGTGACACCAGTTGTGAATTTAGACTTTATTTAGAACATGACCAAAATTGTTCAGTTAAATAAGATAATAACATATTAATAGGACATTCAAAATATTACAGTTTGAAAATGATCTATGAATTAAGAAAAAAAGGACATTCAAAAATAATTACAAAATATATAATATGAAAAGAAAAACATGAACATGTAAATATATAAAATCAGCTAAGTGGAGACTGTGTTGAATGTGAACATAATTTCCAAAACCTCAGATGTCTTTGGATTAATTTTTGTTCATTAGATGTTTCTTGGTATTTTTCTCTGGCTTAAACAATATGATGAAACACTTTGGAGCAAATATACACAGTATTAGTCCAAAACTAGAGGCCAGAATGGCAAATATCTCTACAGCCACAGTAAATTTCCCAGGAGAGCTGACATACGCTGGGATAAAGGTGATCCAGACTGCACAGAATATCAGCATGCTGAATGTGATAAGCTTGGCTTCATTAAAATTATCAGGTAGTTTCCGGGCTAGGACAGCTAACACTAAGCAAAAGGCAGCCAGAAGGCCTATGTACCCGAGTACAGCCCAGAACCCAATAGCTGAACCTAATGCACACTCCAGGATGATTCTCTCCTTGTATACAGTTAGGTTTTTCATTGGAAAAGGGGGACTGACAACCAACCAAATAGTACATATTAAAACTTGAATGAATGTGAAAGACACTACAGTCATTCTTTGCTGTGGAGGACCAAACCATTTCATAACATTACTACCAGGGAGTGTGGCTTTGAAGGCCATTAACACTACTATAGTTTTTCCGAGAACACAAGAGATACAGAGGACAAAGGTGATCCCAAACGCTGTGTGGCGCAGCATGCAGGACCACTCAGAGGGTGCTCCAATGAAAGTTAATGAACATAAGAAACATAGAGTCAGGGAGAAGAGCAGCAGGAAGCTCAGTTCAGAGTTGTTGGCCCTGACAATCGGGGATGTTCTGTGATGAAAGAACACAGCCGCTGTTATAATGGCAAGACAGGCACCACCAACAGAGAATGCAGCCAGGATGATTCCTAGGACCTCGTCAAAGGAAAGAAACTCTACAGGCTTGGGGAAACAAGTGTCTCTCTCTGCATTAGGCCAGAACTCCTTGGGGCAAGGGAAACAATCAGGAGAATCTGAAAAAAATCAAAAAGAGCTTTTAGCGCTCATTTACTTGATGTTGTGGAAATGCATTGCAAAAAAAAAAAAAAAGAAAGTACCTGTAACATTGCTAATCTCTGCCTCAGGGCACGGTATACAGTCATAACAGCAGATGGGTTTTCCTTTCTGCAACACTTTACGAGTTCCTGGAGGACAGCTGTCACTGCACACTGATACAGGAACCTGGCACAATAGGTACAACACACACACTTATTCAAGTGTACTGTGCAACATTCCAAGCAAAAAAGGATTTTTTCAAATCTGCTAGTAAAATAATACTCACATGTCAATATGTACGTAAAGTACTTATCTTCTAAGAGAACACTATTTTTATATTAATATATATTGAAACTACTGTAACTTTCGAAGATTACCATTTTTGCACAGAATGAGGACTCTGGATTTTTGTCCCACATCGTTTACAATGTAACTATTAGAAATAGATCTCTTTAAAGCCAGTTTGGACAGGGGGAACAAGGACCAAGAACACATAGTCTACCCTTTAAGATCAAACATTTTGAAATTAAAATATGTTAAATTATTGCTTTTGTGCTCCTTACTTGTGTCCTACCCTCCACCCAGGTGATATTCTTGTTTATACGGAACTCCTGGCCCACTGGCAGTGATGCATCATAGAGCCCCACTGTCACCAACTCAATGTTGCCACTCTCACTTTTTTGCCAGTTCACCAGCTCATAGGTGGCCACAGGATCCCCGTTGGCATCAAATGACACATCATAACCATTTTGGGAAAAGTTTACTGTCTTCAGTTTTTTTTTTTTTTTTTTTTTTTTTAATTAATATTAAAATTAAAAAAAAAAAAAAAAAAAAATTTATTATTATTTTTTTTTATTTTTTTTTTTTTTTGTTATAAAAAAAATTTTTTTTTTTTTTTTTTTTTTTTTTTTTTTTTTTTTTTTTTTTTTTTTTTTTTTTTTTTTTTTTTTTTTTTTTTTTTTTTTTTTTTTTTTCCCCCCCCTTTTTTTGTTTGTTTTTTTTTTTTAATAACATTCTTTTTCACCTTTTTTTTTATTTGGGGGTTGGGTTTTTTTTGTTTAAAATTTTGGGGCGTACGTATGTCTTCAGTTCCATCACCAATCCACTAGTTTTTTTTTTTTTTTTTTTTTTTTTTTTTTTTTTTTTTTTTTTTTTTTTTTTTTTTTTTTTTTTTTTTTTTTTTTTTTTAATTTCCTTTCTTTTTTTATAAAAAAATTTTATTTTTTTTTTTTTTTTTATTTTTTATTAAATTTTTTTTTTTTTTTAATTATTTTTAAATTTTTTTTTTTTTCTTTTTTTTTTTTTTTTTTTTTTTTTTTTTTTTTTTTTTTTTTTTAAGTTTGGGTTTTTTTTTTTTTTTTTTTCCTTCTTTTTTTTAAACCATATTAGTGGGAGTTATATTTTTAAAAAAAATACACTCTTCCATTAATCTCTAAAATGTTCTCATCTTTAGAAGTAAGAACCTGTGATGATGACATAATATCTGATCTGATAACCGAGTTTGATGCCCGGCAGCAACTCTGTTCTGTTGTTAATCTCCTCAATGGCAAAAACCATTGCACGTGAGAAGCGCAATTCACGGGAGTCAATGCTGCACACAGACACTCATGTCACTGTTCAAATTGACATATGATAAGGACAATTTACAATTCTAATAGAAAAGAAAACACAATAAAGCAGAACTTCAATTCATAATTATGGGCAATATGTTATAGCTGCTCGACATCTCTGAAACAAATATATATTACACAGTTACCTGACTACCAAAATTGAAAACAAAGGATAACATATCACATTTTAAACCCTAGAATAGCAATACTTCACAAAATCTAAAGTCTTACCTTGTCTTTAGCCAGTTCAATATGTATAAATAAGTTGTTAAACACATCTATATTTGCAGTTAACAAATATAAAAAATATTTTGCATATATTTTGCAGTCACACTCAATTTTTATGAATGTATATGGCCATATTTTAATTATATATATATATATATATTTGATAAGTGTAGAATACTATACAATAGCTCCAAAACCACTGTAAGCACATTATGCATATCAAAACAATTCTATGCCCACACAGTGTAACATCCTCATATATTCACTCCTTCTCCCTCTTACTAACCTGCCTGTGCACCTCAGTGGCTCAGGCACGGTGGTGTAGTTATACTCCACTGTGTCTTTGAAGTGGCGGATGGAGAAAACACCCCCAATAACGTAGTCACCATCCATTGAGAATGCAGGTAGACGAGTGCTACCCTGGAGCTTACATTTCACAGATGAGGCCTCAGTGCTGACCCCTGCAACAGACCTACCATCTGTAAGCCCAGCCCCTTGTTTCCGACCATCCCCAGAGCCATTCAAGGCGAAGACTAAGTTCAGATCACACAAACTCAGAGACCAGATCAGGCCAATGAAGAGAGCTGAGATCTCCATCCTCCACATTTCTGTATGTGTGTTTTCACTGGTTTATATAGCTTTTGAGACAAAAGTGTCCCTCCTTAAACTATACGTCAGCAACTGTACATCAGAGGGACAATGCCCTCACCCAATGGTGTTTGACGAACTCTTTATCAAGTCCTTCCGATGGTGGGTCCCTGTCCCTGTCTCTTTTTTCTAAAGTCATGATTGTAAACACAAGATACACTACTCACAAAAAGTTAGGGATATTCGGCTTTCGGATGAAATTTCAGAATGTACATGAAATGCACTATAACCTTTCCAGGTGATCTTAATTTGAACTTCTCTACTTAAATGCCCTACTTTCATGATATAATATCACTGTAGCATCAACTTTTTACATTTTCATTAAATTTCACCCAAAAGTGGAATATCCCTAACTTTTTGTGAGTAGTGTATTTCTTAGCTCATATTGCACTTAAGCCTGACAAAGGAAGTGCACTGTGTGGCGCTGTGCCAATGAAATGTTTTCAACATGTTCTCATTCTGCGCCCAAGCTAGCAATAATAAAATAGTTTTTTAAAGTTATTATCTTTCTGAGGTTGCAGTTAGGTTAGGTTTACGCAACAAAAGTACTGGGTTTGGTTTAGGAAAGGATCTGAAGTTATGTACCTGCCGTAAGTAAGTATGTTATGTAAGTTAACTTACAAACATACACTGAGCCTAACCTGAATAAGTCAATGTTGACTTTTGGCTGGGTGATAATTGTTTTGTTTTACCCATTTATACCACTGTCTTCCTCCCCACGCAGAGTCTTTCTAGTGCACTTTTATACACGTGTATACTTCACGTTTAGACAAGGCAAAGCGTAATTAAAAAATAGATATACACAAACATTTACATATACATTACAGTGATCAGCCATAACATTATGACCACTGACAGGTGAAGTGAATAACACTGATTGTCTGGTTATCATGGCACCTGTCAGTGGGTGGGATATATTAAACAACAAGTGAATATTTTGTCCTCAAGTTGATGTGTTAGAAGCAGGAAAAATGGGCAGTGTGAGGATTTACGCAACCTTGACAAGGGCCAAACTGTGATGGCTAGACGACTGGGTCAGAGCATCTCCAAAACTGCAGCTCTTGTGGCCAAGGGTCATTGATGTGATGTGGGATGTGAAGGCTAGCCCGTGTGGTCCAATCCAACAGACAAGTTACTGTAGCTCAAATTGTTGAAAAAGTTAATGCTGGTTCTGATAAAAAGGTGTCATAACACATAATGCAATGCAGTTTGTTGCGCATGGGCTGATTGGTGTATGTAAAAATATGACCTTGGGAGAATCTCTAAAAATATTTAGCAGCAAATCTGTGGACCTGAAGATAAGATTTAGTAAACCAGAGATTTGAATGTTAAGATCTGTCATTCAAAAGATCATGAGAACAAAAAAAAGAAGCTGAGAAGATGTAAATACATCATTAAAATGTATTGTGAAAATCTGAGACAAAACTTTTGACACTGAATTTAGTGGCTTTAGACGACAACGATCCCCAGACAGCATTTACATCTGTGCCAGATCCGTTTTCGAATCAGCAGATTCGCATAGCTGTCACACTCACTATGCAGATCTGAACCAACTTTGTGCCAGACTTGTCTATAGCTAAACCCGAGCAACTCTATCTGACTTTATGCAGATTGGAAGACTGCAGGATGCCTCTGCACCGTCTTTGTCATTATTGGTAAGTGCATTATACAAGTAAAATGTTAAAAGTAAACTGGTGTTGATGTCACGTTAGTCTTTTAAATATTTATATTAAACATAAAAGTTTACAAACATATAGTTCACAAACTTAGTTTACACTGATATTATTACATTCTGACAACCTGAGACGTGTCAGACAAGCTGGGTAGTATAGCGCCTAGGCTACGGTTAGCTGGTAGTCTAAGTTCTTATAAACATCCACAACTAATGTGAACATAGGCTGAATCGGTGAGCTTTGCTTAAATTGCTGAATATCGTGTCCATTGTGTGTTAGCTGCAAAATCGTAGCCATGTTAGCACCAATGTTACCCACTACCCACGCATTTGTCTGTGACTTACATTAGTTATTGGCACAGAATGACCCTCCAGTATTTGTCAGTATTTGTCAGTTATTGCTCCCCCTCGCCATGTTGGTCTGTAGACCAGGCTTGAAGAGGGCTCCTCTGTTCGCCGCATGTTGAGGGCTGGTGTGTTGGGGTGGAGAGAGCTGAGGAGGGACTGCCGTTCCTGGCCCATAGTGAGGTGGGCAGTGTGCGAGAGGGGGAACATTTTTTATCAAATGGTAGTCATCTGTTAACCATGACTGATAATACACATGGGGCCTTTCTATTCACTAATATTTCAGAGATCAGTCCCTTCCTTGAGTACCTTGAGTAACTCTCTGCATGTTAATTGCGGGTGCGGGGGATGGAGGGAGTTGAGGAGGGACTACTGTTCCTGCTGTTCCTGTCCCTTAGTGAGGTGGGCGGTTTGCAAGAGGGGGAAACAATTGTATGAAATGGTAGTCAAATGTTAACCATGACTGATAATACATATGGGGCCTTTCTATTCACTAATATTTCGGAGCTCAGTCCCTACCTTGAGTAACTCTCCGCATGTTAATTGTGGGTGCAGGCAGTTGAGGTGGTGAAGGGTGTTCCAAGGTGGCGAAGTCACCATTTACTGGCTCTTCTTCACTGTCATCTGAGTCCCCGAAACGATGGCTGTTAAGTAACCATATCATTATGGTTATTGCAATCCCAAAATTGCCAAATATCCATATAGTACAGGCATCTCTTGTCTATTTTTGAATGCTACGGGAAATAGCCTACCTATTACTGTAGAAACATAACAAAAACAAGACAGAACACACTTACATTGGCTTCCTGACTCTTTTCTCTGGCAGCAGCTCACCTTCCTGTTCTGCCTCAGACTGTAGGTCAGAGGTGTTGCAGCCGGTCTGATACTGGTTCATAAGCCTAATGGCATCTTTGTAGTTGTAGTCTAAAATTGAATATGTTAAAATGAACATGATCAGCTGTAGAGTTGCACAGAATATTATTATTATTGATGATGATGATTATTATGATGATGATTATAATTATAAATAGTATTAATAATATCTTTATTTAACCAGGTTGGTTTCATTGAGAACACAAAATATCTCTTACAAGAGAGACCTGGCCAAGAATAGCATCGGTAGATATAAATGGAACATTTTAAACAATGCAAGGCAAAGACTTCATGTGCATTTTCAGAACATAGAAAGAATAGGTTATTCCAAGCAGAAGGTGAAGCAACCATGAAATTATTTTTAAACAAGAATTTTATGAATTGGCATTCCACAAGTTCTGACGACCTTGACGTCATATCTTGGCCAGTTTGGCTCATGCTTCTCCTCGTTAGCGGCTGCCTTTTTCACACGTTCTGTGCTCTTAAAGTTGGGCCAGCACACCATCCCGTCATCATACCAGTCAACTGGCACAACAGTAATGTCCTCGGTTGATTGTAACTCAACTAGATGAAAAGGCATCCTTAATGTGGAAAGAAAGAAAGGGGGTATTTATTATCATCAAAAAAGATGAACATGGACTAAAGCATGCACAAGTGTACAGTGTATACAAATAAGCAAGTAAGATGGGATGAAAGTTAACCTGAATGGTTCCCCAAGGTGGGAAGAAGTATAAGGAAGGAAAAAGTACAGGTCATAATAGTTAGGTAGAACTTCAGCTAAACCGTAAAGTAGGGTACTATTGCAATTTTTTGAAATTTTTTTTTTTTACACACCATTATCATTTTGGATAATGTTTTTGATAAGGCAGACTCTATCCCGCACCAGAAACATGTTGTCCCCTGTTGTTAATTTGATGGTCCACCTTTCACATCGCATTTCCCCATATTGCGCATTAACTCCAATGCCAACAACAATTGGGCCCACAAAATGCTCCCTTTTCAGAGTAATGTCTGCATCAGCATCCAATTTGGTAGCTATAACCTCCAAAAGGCGCCGAATGAGCTGAGCTAGAGGGAACTCAGGTTTTCTAATGAGTTTTTTTTATTCTCCCGAGATGGTTCTCATATGGGAACGCTGAAAAAGAGTCCAGACAGCCATGCCATGCCTTTTCACCTTGTCTGCCAGGTGGACCAGACAGTGGACATTGTAAACAATCTGGTCTGTCCCATAAAGCTCACCAAAATGGTTTACAAAAGATTTTAGTAGTTGTCCAGCATAGTCAGCAAGGTTGAGATATAGCAGTTGACAGGAGCATGAAACTGTAGTACATGTTCCGGTCCAGGAATCCCGCCAGCACCACAGGGCCAGTGTACAGTAAAAACTGTCGGAATTCAGTTGTCTTCCAACGGTCCAACTCCCTAAGCAACTGTGGTCTCCTGGCAAACTCAATTGGCACGTAGGGCCTCACTGACTGGAGTTTGACGGCAGTCTTACTGTTAATGGACCCCGGAGCCAGGTCTTGAGCAGTTTCCTTACAATGCCCAAACACACTATATGCATATAATCCAAGGGAAACTGCGATACCATGCCAACCTTGACATTTGTAAATGGATGTGGCCCCTCATGGTGGTGTATTTCATCATCCATCAGGTTGAATGAGATGTCAGTTCTCTGGGGCCCTCTGGTCCAGGGAATGTCATACAGCGGTTCTGGTATTGCCCGGGGTGTTGGCACTTATCGCACCCATGGAAGCATTATGGGCCTTTGTGTTTTTCACAAAGGCCCGTGAAGGGGTATCACAGACTACCGTGTGAAGCTCAATTTTAAGGTTCTTATCTCCAAAGCAAAACCCAGCCTCTAGCTCCTGTAGTTCATTCACAAAATCAGATAAGAACTCTGTGGCCAAACTAGATTTTTTTGGTCCACAGTAGGCCCCAATGACCACAGGTTCTTTCATGGGGAACGGTAACCAGTAAGCCAAGAATGGGCCACAGCTGTACAGTGGAACTTTTAAATAAAGGTAGACCATCTATATTAATCTGCGGCCCCAATGTCATGCCC